TAATCGATCGGCAGGCGCGATCAATCGATCGCCGATATAATCGATCGGCAGGCGCGATCAGTCGATCGCCGAGCAATGGATCGGCAGGCGCGATCAATCGATCGCCGATATAATCGATCGGCGGGCGCGATCAATCGATCGCCGAGCAATCGATCGGCAGGCGCGATCAGTCGATCGCCGAGCAATCGATCGGCAGGCGCGATCAGTCAATCGCAGTGGGCTGGATCAGGAAGGAGGAGCACAGCCAGACACACTCAGACACACTCACTACACTCACTCACTCTCACCACTCACGCACTCAGGGAGCAGTGCTGGGAAGGTGGGCAGCCCCTAACAGCCCTGGGTGGTTCCAGGGGAGCCCGGCCCCATCAGCTGGAGCCTTTTACACTGCTCGTGTGTTCCCAGTGGCTCTGTGGGGGGACAGGGACAGCGCGAGGTGCCTGGATCAGCCCAGGCTGGGTTCTGGGGACAGGCACAGCGGGGCCGGGGATGGTGTGAGGGGCAAGGGACAGGGATAGTCCGGGGGGACTGCTGGGGTCAGCCCCGTGTCCCGCACCCCGTGTCCCGCACCCCGCGTTCCGCAGCCCCGCCGGCGGCTCCGTACCGGCACGGCGCGGGCAGCCGGGGGCCTCGGGGCGGGGCCTCGGGGCGGGGCCTTACGGCCGCAAGATGGCGCCGAAAGGGAAAGGCGGCGGCAAAGCCGGGAAGGGTGAGCGGGGCTGGGCGGCACCTGGATCGGCCGCGCGGGGGCTCGGGAACGGCACCGGGACCGGCCGGGCGGGAGGTCGGGGGCGGTGGGGGCCGGGCCGGTCTCAGAGCCCGGCAGGGACCGGGCCGGTCTCACGGTGCTCTGTTCACAGGCGGCGACAGCGGCGGCGGCGGCAGCGAGGGCAAAGCACAGGGCCCGAAGGGAGGCGGCAGCGCCGTCAAGGTGAGTGCGTGGGGCGGCGGGGCCGGGCGGGGTGCGGGTTGTCGGTCCCAGCACCGGCAGGCCCGTCCCGCCCGCCGGCCCCGCTCGCCACAGCCCCGCTGCTCTCCGCTCCAGGTTCGGCACATCCTGTGCGAGAAGCACGGCCGCGCCATGGAGGCCATGGAGAAGCTGAAGTCCGGGCAGCGCTTTAGCGAGGTGGCGGCACAGTACAGCGAGGACAAGGCCAGGCAAGGGGTGAGTGAGCGAGCGAGCGAGCGCTGCACAGCGGGGCCGGGAGCATGGCTCCTGCTCTCAGCAGCAGGACGTGTCCCACTGCTATATCCCCACCCTCCCTGCTCGGAGTCTCAGAGCTTAACCCCGACGGTGCCTTCCTGCAGGGAGACCTGGGCTGGATGACCCGAGGCTCCATGGTGGGACCATTCCAGGAGGCAGCGTTTGCCCTGCCGGTGAGCAGCATGGACAAGCCCGTGTACACGGACCCTCCCGTCAAAACCAAGTTTGGATACCACATTATCATGGTGGAAGGCAGAAAATAAAATGTGAATGACCATGATGACCTTGTTGACTGCTTGAATCCTGAGTCCCAGACACCTTGGCCTTGGAGCAACACGCCTGGAGGCAGCTGCCTGGCTGTCCCTGCCACTCTGTGCTGGCAGAGCAGGGCCCTGCCTGGAGAGGTAAAGTGTCCTTGGGAAGGGTGAAACAAGACCCTGTTACAGATGTTGGAGTGGCTGTTGCCTGGCAGGCCAGCCTCTTGCTTCTCCTGCTGTGGAGATAATGGTCTGTTAGCAGAATGAGGTTCTTATTTGCAAGCAGGAACGATGCAGGAAGGGACAGGGGGCCCCAGGGCTTGGTCTCCATCTCCATCCTGCCCAGGAGGGTGCAGACAGCTCCCATGGTGCAGGCTGTGCTCCAAGGCTGCAGCACAGTCTGAGCTCTCCTGAGTACAGACTCACCTCTTCCTACAGCTCCACCTTGCCCAGTCAGAGCTGGGGGAATAAACTCGATAACTCAGGCCTGAATAAGAAAAAGGCCACTAAAGGCTTGTGTGCCGCTTCCTGCGCTCCCCTGTGCTGTGGGGTGTGCAAGGGAATCAGCCCAGCAAGGTTCCTGTCATCTCAGGAATCCAGCCCAGAGCCCCCATGATCCCCTTGCTGCCCACAGAGCCCCCACCCCAAACCAGCCACGGTGGCTCCAGCAACAGGCACCAGCTTTGTTTACAGGTGAGCACCACGCACAGAGCTCGGAGCTGAGGAGGAAACATCAAAGAACAGAAGGTCCTTCTCTTCCCTCCCTTCTCAGGGTGTTGGTTTTGCTGAGTGTGGAACCCTCAGAGAAGCCAATGCTACAGAGGACAGACAGGCTGCCCAGAGCAGACACTGCCCCATGTAATGGTGCTGTTAATAAACCACTTGTTTCCAGGCTACCAGAACTCTGTTCTCTCTTTTGGCAGAAGCACATTGACACAACTGCAGCAGCAGCATTAGATCTGTGTTTGCTGTGGCTCTGAACACAAAGAGCTCCTCTCCCAAATTACACAGCTCAGCCAGGTGTGCTGTCCTGGGCTATTGCAGAAGGCACATGGCACAAGGAAATCTCCATACCTGCTGCTGTGCTGTCACCAGGTGGGACTGGCAGGAGTCAGTGGCAGTGAGGAACACAGCAGGCTGAGGCTGTGTTGGTGAGGGGCAGTCACTCAAAGCTTTTGAGCTGCTGCTTTGTGGGATTGAGGCACTCTCAGCCAGTTTGCTGACAACACTGAGCTATGTGGTGTGGTCACACTCTGGAAGGGAAGGATGGATCCAGAGGGACCTGGAGAGATGAGACCACATGAAAAGTTCAAGGTTCTACACCTGGGTCAGGGCATTCCCAGGCACAGCTGCAGATTGGGCAGAGAAGGGATTGAGAGCAGCCCTGGGAGAAGGGCTTGGGGGTGATGGTTAAGGAAAAACTCACCATGAGGCAGCAGTTAGCACTCCCAGCCCAGAAACACCCCCATGTCCACCACCAAATGGTGGGTGACCCTCAGGCACCCAAAGTGGCTTATTTAAACCCGGGAGGAGGGAGGAACCACAGCACCCCCAGGGCTGGGCTGTCCCCATCTTCTCAGGGGAGAGGAGCAGCAGAACCTGGGGGGTAAAATGTGAAGCCCGAGCTGCCAGCATGGAGAAGGGTTTAAACATCAACAACAGCATTTTTTTAATTGAATAATCAGACAGGAACATGAACCATTTTCACCTTTGTGAGCCAACTCCACAGTGAAATTCCCTCCCCAGCATCCAACACCTGGATGTTTGGACTGTTTCCTCAAGCAGGAAGTGCTGAATTTTCTCAGTCACACGAGTATAGGGCAGGCACCAGCCTGGAGCTGGCTCAGGGATCCCAGGGCCCTGGTGCAGACACACGGTAACGAGGAACAGCCAGACTGTCTGCACAGAGCCACATCCCTGTCACTTCTGGGCCAGCTGTCTGTACAAGTTCAGAGTCAGAAGCATAACTTCAGGATCTCCACTTTTTATGTCAAGAGCTTGCAGGAAGCAGTCCAAGGCCTCCTGGAGTTTTCCATCATTCTGAAGTTTCTTCCCACTGTGTACCAAGGTGTCATAGTCTGCAGCAGGAGAGGAACTCTGCCCAGTGCCCTTTTCAGAGCTGCTTTCCTGCGTGAAGCAGTCAATCTGCTCCCCTGACTGGAGCTCAGCATCACCCGTGGATTGCTCCTGAGATGACTCCGTCTCCTCTGCCTCGGATTGCTCAGATTCCAGATTGCTGTCTGCGTGGGAGGACTCCTCACTTGTATCAATTGTTTCTCCAGTAGGTTCTTCCTCAGGCTCAGCAGATTCCTCAGTGCATTCCTCAGCTTCGTCTTCCACAAGCCCATCTTGCTCCTCATCACCATCATCATCATCATCACTGTCTTCTTCATCAGTGGTTCCCATGATTTCCCCAATATCCTCCACCTCATCTACCAACCTGTTAATGAACGAGCGCCTGGAAGCGTTAGACCTGTTTCCACTGTTATTTAGCTGGGGAGAAAAGATGGCTTTAGCTCTTCTGGTGTCATATTTAGGGGTGGAAGCACTAATTCCTTCTGGAAGTCCGTGCTGACTGCTGTCCAGGGGAGAGGAGGGCACTTGCTCAGGCTGCTCTTCACTGTCACTGAGTGAAGCAATTCTGTTCAAGCGTTTGTTCCTCGTGAAAGTGAAGAGAACACTGCTTTCCTCCAATGTTTCACTCCCTTGCAGGGAGGCATTTGGCTCTTCCTCGGCTGTGCCATGGCTACTGGGCTCACTTGGCAAAGCTTTGCTTGGAGATTCTTTGTCTGGAGATTTACACAAGCTTTCTGCCTGGAGTTGTAAGCTCTCCTTCTCAGGGTCTTCCACTGATCCTTCTTTACCTGAGGCATCCTGCAATCCCTCTTCAGACTCTTCCAAAACCAGATTGAAGTCAACTTGATCCTGGAAAGAAGGAGCAGATGTACCCTCCAAGCTGTCTTCCAACACGTGAGACTTGTAGAGCTCAGCATTGATCGCTGGTGTAACATTTGATAAATTCAGCACTGCAGAAGCTGGCTCAGGAACATCGTTCTGCTCTGTCCCCAGAACAGTGTGTGGGTCAAGCACCTGAACTGACAATTCTACATCACTTCTAGGATCTTCTAGTCTAGCCATGCCAGCCTCTGAGGAATTGTGACAATGCCCAGACAGGTCATTCCTTGCCTTGGCCAAGCTGTCTGAATGTACCTGCAAATGCTGTTTCTCTTGGAGGCTCTGACTCTCTTTCTCGAGTGCAGGGGATGATGGTGTAATGCTAGATTCAGGATTTTGCTCAGAGTCTTGTATATCAGATTGTTCTGCTGTCTTGCTGATACTGAGCACTTCTGTCTCCATACCAGACACATCTTGTGCCAGCTGCTCTTCATCCAAGTCATCAACAGTTAGAGCTGTCATTCTGGAGCTGACATCGAGCACCTGGGCCTCCTCATCCTCTGTAAGATCAATAATTTTGTCCTTTTTATGTGCATCAGCTACTGGTGGTGAAACAAAGTGATTTTTCTCATTCAGTCCTGGAGACAACTTCTTTGGCCCAGAAACTGATCCCGATGGTCTTTGCCAGTTCTCTTCACAAGCATTTCTGATCCCCTCCATCCTCTGATCTCTGAGCTGGGACTCCAGCTGGACCAGCTCGTGGGCTTTCTGTACCCTCCTCTGGATGTACTGATGGGCTTCCTCGCTCTCCACCTGCTCCTCGTGAGCCATCTCCCTCGTGTACATCAGGTCGTGGTCAGAAATGCCAAACATTGCCAGGGAGTGCAGGTAAGCAAGGTGCTCATCCAGCTGCAGGTCTGACTTCCTTTGCATGGCGTGCAGGGACTGCAGCTGGATCTGGGTCGCAGACGTCCGAGTATCTTCCAGGGTGAAGAGCTCCCTCAGTTCCTGTTTGGAGAAATACCGGAACGGGTTCTTTTTGTCACCGGTGCTCTGTCTGATGAGCGAGTCCTTGAATACCTGCCGCCTGTAAATCTTCTCTTCCACGGTGCCACAGGTGATCAGCCTGTAAATCACCACGTTCTCCTTCTGCCCGATTCTGTAAGCTCTGTCCACAGCCTGAGCGTCGGTTGCTGGGTTCCAGCTGGGATCAAAGATCACCACTCGGCTGGCTGCTGTCAGGGTGATCCCAACACCCCCGACCTGCGTGGTGAGCAGGAAGACCGAGTAGTCGGGGCTGCTCTGGAAGGCGTTGATGCGCCTCTCCCGCTCCGTCAGCTGCGTCACCGTGCCGTCGATGCGCAGGATCCGGAAGTGCCGGCGGGACAGCACGAGCTCTATGATATCCAGCATCTTCCTCGACTGCGAGAACACCAGCGTCCGGTGTCCCTCTTCCCGCAGCCGTTCCAGCAGTCCCACAAGGAACTGCATCTTCCCCGACTCCTGGATCACAGTCTCATCAGACAGATGATCTATTTTGCTCATGCCTGAAAACAGACCTGCTTCCACCCTGTCATCCTGCTCGGAGCCCTCCTGCTCTTCCAAGCCCAGCTGGATACAGGCTCTCGCAGACAGAAGCCTGGGGTGATCACAGAGTTTCTTCAGGACCGTCAGCTCGGCCAAAGGTGATCGGGTCGTCATCAGCACTTCCTTCACGTGATCTAGGCAGAGAAAATTCCTGTAGATTTCTTCCTGCACCGGTGCCAGGTACACCCACACGACAAAGTCATTTTTCCTAGTGAGAGATGGCATGACAGGAGCCTTATTCTCATTTGGATCCTCAGGAAGAAGAGCATCCACTTTATCAGCAGGATTGCTTTTGATGTCTTCCTTGGTTCTTCTGAGGAAATAGGGCTTTATAATTGCCATGAGATTCTCTGATATCTTTAGCCCCAGTGCTTTCTCACCTGGAGTCGCATCCTTCTCCCTCGCCCTGGTAATGGGATTCTCATATTCCATTTTAAAAGTTTTGGCAGTTCCCAGGAGGGAGCCTTGGCAGGCAAAGTCAAACAAGGACCACATTTCGCGCAGGTTGTTCTGCACGGGGGTGCCCGTGAGCAGGACGCGG